GAAGCAAGAAGAGGATGGGGAACAAAGAAGAAGGGTATGAAAGGAAGCCCCCATTCGGGTCCTCAGGATCTGCTTGACAGCAGAGGGACGGCTGATGACCAACAATAATGGTTGGTCCAACCCACCTTAGAAAAAATGACACAATCGAAAGATAACCTTGCATCCCTCCTAGGCCGCGCCGTGGTCATCAAGAATGTAATCCTCGCCACTCTCTCGTATAATCCAACTATGTGGGTGTTGGGGAAACAAGCCCTCCACACCCTGCGACACCAAGTGGCGGCCTTCTTCTGGAGGGGAAACCACGAGTGCAACAATGTCATCAGTCGAGTAGCCTGGTAGTCAGTGATCCAACTCAAAAATAGAGGCGGCTTGGGAATAATCGACCCCGCCACCCAGGTAACAACACTCGCACTACAATGCATCCAACACCTCCTTCTCCACCTGCAAACCTCGTGGGCACCAATAGCACTGCAACATATAACTGAACTATCCCCGTGAGCACCTGAGGGCATAGACCCCACTATGTGGTTGGAGAACCGCAACTGGCCCTTCCACAATGCACAGCGAGGATCGGGGATAGGGACCGTTCAGTGGGCCGAGAGGACATAAAAAATGACGATATTTGGCCCACACTGCTAAAAGCCTGGAGCAGACCCCTGCTGGAAGACGAGACCCCTCCCCAGTGATGGGAGGAGGTCTACTGCCAACCCCTTTTCAACAGCAGATTGATCATGGATGCCCACGGCTTGGTCCTCCACTCACTGAAACCCCCTGGCTAGGATGAGCGAAGCAAGGCGTCTCAGGGTGAAAGTCACTGGGAGTAATTTAGGACAGGGACATGTGATTTGAACTCTGTCTATGTAAGGGACGCTGGACCCGGTTTCCAGCAGGTGCTGCTCCACACCAATAGATGGAGCCGTCCCCAGGTGCTAGCGGTGTCTGCTCTTACCAGCACCACTAGCACCGGAGNGGTGTCTGCTCTTACCAGCACCACTAGCACCGGAGAAAAAAAAAAAAAAAAAAAAAAAGGGACAGGGAAACGGCGATGTGGATTACACACCAACAAGCGAGGTTCAAACTGAAATACTTCCACAAGCAGCACCTGGTGCTGGATAACTTAATTGACCTACCGGATCCTCCGGAAGGGTCCCCGGCCTTGGAACCCAGAGACCAGGTCGCCATCAGAGGTCTCCCTAGCACAGTGGGCAAACTTATCACCAACCACCTGAGAGGGGAAGAGGAAGTGCTGATATCCCTTGTGTATGTCAACAGTGACCACAGGTGTCCCCAGGACGACACACGCTGGGTGCCGCAGGCCGATACCTTCTAGATCAGGACGCTGCACGAAAAGGACTAGTGTCGGGCGTTCAGGCCAGAGACCCTGCTCTCCCAATTCCCTTTTGACCCGGCCAGCTGGTCCTGGACCACCCCAATTGGGAGAAGAAAGGCATGCACCTGATTTCTGCACACCATCACAGTGAAGTCGGTATACCATATGCTCAGACCAAGGACCAACCTCAGAGACCAGGTAGAGGACCAATCGATGAGGCACCTGAACATCGCTAAGGAGACACTAGAACCAAGCAAATGGTGCAAGGCCATCAGGGTGAAGCCGGCC